TTGAATTAGTTCATACTTTTTTATATCCGTCCTATTTTGACTCTGCTAGATTGATAATTCCATTATCTTATTGATTGACACATACAATATGACTGATTCATATCATTAAATACTAAAACTTGCAATATTTAGACTAATTCGAATGTAAAGTAGAAATCTTAAATTCATAGAATACTTGGAAAGATTTTACGGACTTTTAGAATTATCTAAGCACCGTTATTACTGACGTACGTTTTCCGGTTGCTAGGAAACCGTATTCAATGATCTTTGGCTTTTCTTCTCTCATTCCAGATTGCTAGGACGTTGGGGAGAAGTGGAAGAAGAGAAACTGTAAAAATCTCAATTGAAACTTACATTCATTATTTTCTTCAAAAATATATGTGAGTTCTACAAAAGATGAGTTCAATGTAATGTCGAAAATATCATATCACAGCAATACTATTGAATACTCATAAGAGTAATAGTTTGTGTAGTATCGTATAATATCATCTTTTATTTAACACCGATTTTATAATCATTTAAATTGTATATCATCTATTTCATGTACTAACACAATATTCTAGTGGTGTCAAATGAATATAGAACGATAGACTTTTACTTAAATTCTCTTCCTCGTTGAGCTGGCATTCCAATGAATCGAAGTCATTAACATTTTCTCTTATTTGTCCTATTATTTGTAAGTAAAACATTGAAATATGTCAAGTTACTTGTTTTTATATATTTAAATACTTGAATGACAGATGTCCCTTAGACTTATGAATTTCCTTGGTATATAAACATTGTAAGAGAAAAAGAAAATTCAGAAGAATAACTGTTTAATAAAATAAAAATAAAATAATAAAGTAGTACCAATGATGACACTGGTACCAAGATATATCAATGACAATAGTATGTATCACTGCATAGCAGTACCAAGTGTGTAGAAAAAAAACAAGCTGAAATAGAACCAATGTGTCTGATTGATAAATTCAATAAAATGAGTTGAAAGATATATCTCTACAAATGAAAAAACAAAGCTTTTTATTACTTAAACTAACATTTATCGGTCGATCACTAACCTGAATCATGAATATTTCCTATTAAACAAAATTCTTCTACCAGTCCGATAATGTTCCTAATGATTTATTATTTATTTCCATGTATTTAGAACTACTGTATAAAGAATTAATAGAAAATGCAAACGTTTTAATTTTATCGCTCCATCGTATTCTAGATAGAACATTCTCAATGAAAGCTGAATCTAATGTCCGAGTTATAAAATGATTTTTCTCTTATTTGTTTAAAAACTGTTGATATAAAAGAATCCACCCGATTATATTTATTACTATCGATGAAAAGCATATTTGCTGTGCTACAAAAAAACGACTTACTTGTTCGACGATGATCAGAAACAAAAATATATGTCATAATCGAATAGATCACGATGTCATAATTTACGATATGTTTTCGAGCAGTGATCAATTATGTAAGTATATGTTTTTCTAACTCTAATTATTCGAGAAATCAAACAATAGAAAAATTAAAACAGAAAGAAGCGTTTATGGGGTAAATTTGATAAATCCTTATCAGTTATGATTATTATAAAAATGAAGAGCAAACAAAACGATAAACATTTAGTGCAGTCCTTTACTTATTCATTTGATTACTGAAAATAATCGAAATATGACGTATATTTTATTATAGCTAACAAGCAACGAATATATTCCTCAACTAAATGAAAGGTCATATGAAATAAAAATGAGTGTGTTCGCTTGCACTGATAACGTCATTTGTACACATATATGTATTTGTAGGGACTTTGAGCAGCTATTTGAAATAAGACTTCATGCTAGCTATTCAGTCAATCAGATGTTTTCATTATCTCTCTGTCGACCAATCAGTTTTTTTCGTGGTGGCGATTTCAGTCTTTTAGTTGTTTTCCATTTCTAGATTTCGACTTATTAGTTTTATTGGGCTGGAATTTCACCGAATGACATGTTTTTTTCTATATGGCTTTTGAGCACGCACACCTACAGTCACAACGACATCCACATACTCACACCTAAGTCGCAGTGATGAGTACTACTTGCTCTGTTTGTAGTCTACTTCGAAGAGCATTTATCAAATGGGCATTCTATACAGTCGTATCCACATTGTCTTGATGCTATGAAACTTGAGTGTTCTAAATCTTGACTTGTCTATCCCGAGGTCGCTCGAAAAATCGATTAACGTTTACGGATCGTTTTTAGTCAGTAAACGTGAAAATACATCAACCTTACTGTAGCAAACAGTGTAAATACAGATCGTAAACTATCACTCCGCACAGTTCTGACAGACGTTCACATAGGCGTGAGTAGGAGTAGAGACTGTTCTGTCTGTCTCAATTTTGCACCAAATAGTTCCATCTGGATCGAAGATAAAAAAGAAGACTAAAAAACATTAAATACTTGAGAGGTCACGCAAAAGTAGAGTAACATCTAGTATTTAACTAAAGTGTGGTATATCAATAGTGTTTGAAAATCTATAGATTATCTTCATTCATTCGAAAGTCTATTCAATATGAACGACGATAAAGCTTAGCAAGCCAATGATTTTAAAAATCAAGCTTTGTAGCACTGTATATTACCCAACGAAAACTATATATTGACATATAAAGCACCCAAAAAACATTACTTAGTTCCTAACTATAATAGAAAAGGAATTCTAGCAAACATACGGCTGAAACTAAATATGATGCCAATGAGAAAGATTGCAGAGCCATTCGTCCATGGATTACTCGATGGTATTAAATGAACTTGATCAGAACTTTCATGATATATCATCACGCAGTACCTAACCATAGACTTCAGAAGCTTTCAAAATAGAAAATAATGATGAAGCCGCTAATGAACGAGTACATAGGACTTACATCATTGTTTGAAAAACCATAATGATAAAATCTTAGACGTCATGTTGTTTAAAATTGCTTGCTTTAAGCATGATTCCATCATTTCGACTTAATTAGTAGTCAGATAATACATTGCATTTGCATCAATAAATAAATGTAGAAAAACTTACGTAACCAATTATTCAATCGAATCTCAGTTAAAGATGTTCCAAGAAGAACGAAAAATAAATGCCAAAGTTATGCATATCTATCTTTTATCATGCGACCAAATACAATTTAACAGAGCACAAAGTAAACTGTAGCTGTTACTACGACAATTTCACAATATATGATTACTTTACGTTAATTTGTCCAAACAAGTAATTGCACAAGCATTAGCAGCTTCCGATACAAAACGATTATAAATTCTCGTCAACAAAAAAACTTTGATTAAACACACCACATACTCAACATGCATTTCCAAGTCTCAAACAGCTCAAAAATTTTCATTCATGTCGACCAAAATTGTTTCAACTTTTCTTACGTTACCGGTAGAACTTGTCTACCGAATTCTTGATCATTCTGATGATTTTTATATTCTATGCCCAATGCAAAACATTTATACACACAGGAATGATATTGTCGATACCTATCATAGATATCACGTAAAACACTACTATATCTAAAAATTTGACTTTTCTCATCTTCAACACACTATTCATGTATATCAACGATATCAATTCATATCCTGTCTCCGTATAGTATTTGCTTTTGACTAACCAACCATTATTCCGGAATCATACTTAAATTAAAAGATTAATTAATTAAGACAACAATTACTTATAACACTCTACTTGTAAAAGAGTACACTCAGATGCGAACAAACAATCCTCAAATATAATCACAAACTGTACGAAGACACTTAACCTTGACAATCTGTTTCACTGATCATCATACTTCAATCAATTCACTTATTTGTGTTTTTGTACAAAACAAATCGGTAAATGAATGATGAACACATGCATTGCTGCTAACTTGTAAGTCAATCTACGAATGGTAGCCGTAGCTTTTTCAGAAAAGAAAAGAACGACATCTACACACAAACCCAGATTTATACCGACATGCATATCAGCATCCAAACTCAGACCCACGGGCATTTGCACATGCAACTGCATACATACATTTGATATTGGTGTCAGTAAGACTTGTAAAGTAGTAATTTATACAAAAAGAGTTGAACATTCAGTTGAGAGTTAAGAGAGTCGTAATGATAAGTGTTACTTGTAGCTATAACGAGTTCTAAGTATTTTCAGTTCTAAGAAAACCTTAGAATGCACTTCCTTCAAAGTATTGCGATCACTCGAAAAATCTTTTTAATTATCAGTAATTGTAAAGAAAAGAAATACGTAATGGAAGACTTGGAAACTTCAATTATGGGACATTGCATTTATCTTGTTTGTTCTTATGGCCTACACAGTTATGTAGACCGTTCTACATGTAAGAAATTTCTTGGATAAGTAATTATTTAGTAATAAAAATATCGCAACAAAATTAAATAATATATATGAATGAAACTTTTTTCAAATGATAATAGAGCGTCGAAACCTATCAATATTATTGAGTTGGCGGACAAGTTCTGCACGTTTTTTTTTTTGTGTTTTAGACAAAGTTCAGGCCTTGTATCTCGTCATTGAAAGGTGATAAAGGTCTAAAATTTTCAATGTAGATAGAATCGTCAAGATCTATCTACACTAAAAGTTTCACTCGTCTATCACTTTCCAATCATGAGATACAAGGCCTTAAATTTGCCAAAAATACCAAAAAAAACTGTGCAGAACTTATGTGCCAACCCAATAACTATCAACAAAATTATCGTGCCCCACAATTTTAACCTAACAAAAATGACTTGCATCTTTTAGCATATTTGTAAGAATTTTCTCATTTCGAGAAAAAAATTATTTTCGCCAAATTGATAATTTCTTCATTTATTAGCAAAATGTTATGTTTAAATCTATGAATCGATTCTATATCATTTACGATTATTCTTCTGAATCATGGATTCAATATTTATTGATCATTAAAACAACAACACATTATTATACAATAAAATATAAATAAAAACTATGAAAACAAATTAAAAACATCAGTAGATGAATCAATGTACTCGTTGAAAACTAAAATCCAAGTATATAGAACATGTTTTATATAACATAGCAGCTTGATTTATTGCCATTTTACCTTGTTCTGTAAGATGATTTTTTACAAGCTCAATATAAATTAATGTTTTGTTTTGTTTCATTATATTTATTATGAATGGAACACATTCATCTTTTAAATTGCAATTATTTAAATATAAATTTTGTAAACTTTTATTATATTGTAATCCATTAACAAGTAATTTCATACAATTATCATCTATTTCATTATTATTTAAAGCAAGATAGCGAAGCGTTTTATTGGAGCATAACATATTAGCTAATTGACGAACACCTTCAATTGTCATCTCTACAGATTCAACTATTAATTTAACTAGACTTGTATTGTTCATGAGTGCAGAAGCAATAAATGAAATACCCATATCACCAAGTGGATTATAACTAATTATAAGATTTGTAAGTGTTGTTTGTGTTTGTTTCAATAAATATCCAAGTTCATTTGCACTTTTATCGGTTAAATTATTCATGGCTAAATCAAGAGTTGTTAATGTTCTATTTTTCATTAGAAAAGGAATAATGATCATCAATGCATCATCTCCAAGATTATTATTATTCAGATACAAACTTTTTAACATAGTATTCATTTGTAGCATCTTTCCTATTTCATGCATACTTTTAATAGTTGTTATTGTTTGACCAATATGAAGAGATTCTAATGTTATATTTTGTTTTAAAACATGAGCAATAAGATTTACGCCATTATCACCTATAGGATTAGATGAGAGTTGAAGATCTATTAATGTTTTATTTATTTGTAACATATCAGCAAGATATTCAGCACCAATTTCAGTAATATTATTATCATTTAAATATATTGTTCGTAATGAATTATTAACTTTGAGAGCATTACTTATAGCAGCAACTCCATCATCCCCAATAGAATTTGATGAAAGTTCAAGATGTATCAATGTTCTATTAACATATAACATACAAGCTAATTCATGAGCACCAATGTCGTTTATTTGATTTTTATTCAAATATACAGTTCGTAAACTTGTATTTGTTTTAAGTAAGGAAGCTAATATAGATGTGCCTTCATCACCTAACATATTACAATCAAGATTAAGACATATTAAAGTTGAATTCAATTGTAAACCATGCATTAATATTAACATATGTTTTTCATTTATATAATTTTCCCATAAATATATGATTGTCCAATATTTATTTGATATTAATTCATCAGCAATCATTTCCATATCATCATAATTCAGCATTTGTTTTGGAAAACGAATGGATTCTTTTTTTCTTTCTTTATTAATTAGTTCTTTTAATACTTTGTTTTCATAAGATTTTGATGCTTTTCTTGTTACTTTTGTTGCAGTTTGTGGAATATGTAATGATGATGTACATAATGATTTACTTCTTTGTACATTTGAAGAATTTGTAATATGACGTGTAGATGATGATAATGGAGCGGAATGTGGTTTATTGTTATTTTGTTTTGTTGCAATTTTCATAGTAGAAGATGTCAATGGTGATTGAAGATAAGGCGATGATGATGATTGAATTTCTTTTAGACGAATTATACATAAATCATTACTCGGATAATTTTGATCTATAACTTGAAGTTGAATACCAGGTAAAAGAAGAATTTCATCTATATCATGATAATATGAATGTCCATTAATTGCTTTGCCTGTTTCACATTCTATTTCAAATAATGTTCTTTGTCCTTTTTTACCCAAAAATTTATCTGATTCAATGTCATCAAATGATCCAATACATGAACTAAATTAAATTCATACAATTAAATATATAAATTTTATCAAATCAAGTCTTGTCTTACCTAAATCCCCACCAAATAATAGTTTTTCCAATTGGATATTGATTACTTAGATTGGCGTTAACTCCTCGCCAGACTGTTTTTTTCACTGATTTTAATTTCCATAAAGCAGTTAAGAATAATTTCAAGTAGAAAAAATATGGAACAAGTTCAGATCGATCTGTTGATCGAAGTGCAGCATTTAGTCGAGCACATAAAGATTGATCATTTTTTTTCCAATCCATTGTATATAAACAAATAGAAGCAGATTCATCTTGACTTAATCCATTGGCAGGATAAATAGATCTTTCTGTAGCAATATTTGCATTTTCGATTGCTTTTGATACCAGTCTTTCCAAATTTCCGACAGACATTTTCAAAGATAATAATGGCATATCTTCATAACCTTCGATTCTATCAAATACAAAAATATTCATTGATATATTCCTTATTCAAAGATCAAAGCTCATGTAACTTACGGTAAGAGCATTTCTTGTGGTTCATTTTGTACGTCAAAAAAACGTTGATTAGCTTTGAATAATGTCATATCCTGTTCGTTACTATGTAATTAAAATATAACTCTTTTCAGACTGCAACCTTAGTCGGTATTTATACTAGTCGATGACAAGCAAAAAAATGATGTACGTCATTATTTCGCCTACTCTTGAATTGTATATTAAATGAAATAACATGTCAATTCGACCTATTTCATCTTAACATTTGTTTTCGATGTTTATTCACCATAAAAAAAGCATGACAACTGTGTTATGCTCCGGAAACATTTGTAAGTTTGATTGATTGATTGCCAGACCACTTTTTTGTTATTTTTATTACTGCTACTGTAAAATAACAGTGTATAGTACGTTGTTATTAACGATAACTTACGAATTGACTCATTTAAAAAAAACACACTACAGAATGATCGAATTTTCAAAAGTAAGCTGTTGCAAAAGAAAAACGTTTTCTGCAGATTAATCACTAAAGATTCTTCACAACTGCAATAATAGAAATATGTGGCCTTGAGTGAATCAAACATGATGAGAAATGAGAAAATGATGAATTGATACTTCGAGAAGGATTTATGATTAATATTGAAATTCGAAGAAAGCATCTAGAATGCTCTTCAATCATCCAAATACTGTACACTTGAACTTATCTATGTGACTTATCTATTTTGAAGCAATATCAAATTAATTATTGAAAGGTAACGTTGTGAAATTTTATTCATTTAGATAGTTATTTCTCAAGTAATGAAAAAAATCAACAAAATCTAAGATAACAGTACAGCAAACACAACATCATTTTAAGCCAAAAAACTAACTTTGATACATAAAAAAAACCTTATTTTATAAAATTTTTTGATGAACAATATAGTTGAATTTTATACGAGAGAACATATGATTATGTCGAAGGAGAAAATGAAATATCTTTTAAGCCCGATAGAATCGATAGAAGATCAAAATGAAATAAAAATAACAAAGTAAACAGAACGAATGTTACATCTCGAGTATTGCCATGTAAAACAATATCGGTTCGATCAGCATCAAATGATAAGGATATCTATCAATTATGTACAACAGCGACTATTCATCGAAGTCGGCAAAGTGTAAATGAGCGCGGAATTGTTTACTCCTATTGAAGCATGTAGCTGTAATGCCACTTGTTCAACAAAGAAATTTCGTTGTTAGGCAGCAAACGCACATTATGTTACCAAAAGTCATTCATTAAAAACGAAATTATGTTTAAATTCCTAGTTTGAACTTGGTATTTTTGACCTATAAAAATATAATAAATTTTAAACTATATGTTCAGGAATATTTAAAACTGTCCTACAGGAAACATAGAAATTTTAATTTTTTCTCTGACAATGACTAATACACATAATAGCTACAGATTTTAATTGTATAATTTATTTTGTTCTCTTCTCAAGAAGAAAAAAGACCTTGGTGTTTATTTGGCTTCCCTTTCTATAATAACATTTTATCGATGTCCTTCAGACTATTGACAATTTGACGATTATTGATGCTTTAGTTTCAAGAAATGAATATTTTTCGGTTATAAGCTTGTTTCGTTCTCTTAAAAGATGTATGACTGTATGCCACTCAAAATAGGATTCAATTGGTGGTGCAATTTAAGAAGCAACAAGATTTTTTTTCGTTTTTTTCTTGTCGCTAAAGAATATTGGCACGCAAAAGCATTTTTGTATTAGCTCCTCAATTATTTTTCGTTACTCGTTGTAACGAATCAAAATGTAAAAATCCAAGAACGAAAAAAATATATATATAATAACACAAAATAAGAAATTATGGTTGTTTTGTCATGTTAGATTCATAAACGATGAAGTTATTTTTCAAGACTTTTGTTGCTATCCTACTTTTGTTTTCAGGAGTACTGTAAGTCGAATAGAAATTAGTTATTTTTTTTTGGTTCATAATTATTGTTTTGTTTCAGAGGCTTATTATCATCTGGATGCAAAAAACGGTCTGAAGTATGTCGAGCAAATGTTGATTGTTGTCCAGGGATAGGTCGTCGTATGGTATGTGCTCCACATCTAGAAATATGTGGCAAGAAAATATGTTGTATTACTGAAGTCGAAGAACAACAAGAAAAACAAGCAGCTATTATTCGAAATCGTAATCCTAAATTAAAACGGTTTTGGAAAATACTGCTTGATGAAGATGACGAAAAATAATGATGAAAGACAAATATTCTCCATCTAAATAATCTTTTGATTTTTTTTTAGTAATTATATTTTAACGATAAGGACAACTGTAATGAAATGTAAATGTGTTGTTTTTGCTTTCAAAAAGATTCTGAGAGAAATGTAATACTTTATTTTCTATATTAAAAGATAATGGGAAGATCTTGTCATATTTTATGTTTGATTCTGCCGACATAGTAACAGTTCATCGGAAAAGAGATCTCTGAATCAATTTCATGTCATATAAAAAAAAGTGATTCAGCTTAATATATAACATGCATTATGTTTCGCATCCTCTTCCCTCAGAAAAATTCTATTTTGATCAAATTTATTGATTTTGTGACGTACAGCGTGTTCGATAGAGCCAACTGTCTATGCTCGAATGTTCTGTAGTTTATTGATTTTAGAATAAGATTTAAAAATATTACATAGATTTTTCTAAATTCTGAGGCCTAAGAAAATAACTTGTTTTTCTAAAATCGTTACATAAACACAACACTCAAACATTAAAAATCACAAAATGAAGTGTCAGTGAACTGAAGACTCAATTCCGCCCCTTTATATGCATTCATGTCAATCGTTCTAATCAGTGTTCTATGACAAACTATTCGACGATTCTTTTAATATCAATTTATGGAGGAAAAGTATTGAAACTTGTTTTACATTTCTCTCACAATAAGGCTTTTGATTTAGTATTTTTGTGGATCTCAAATTTCTCCACTATTTCCAACACTAAATGGTTGTGCTTGGTGTTAAAATGAAAGCAAAAATCAGCTCTACAATTTATCAGTTAAGTTTTTCAATTTTTCTTTTAATATCTACTAAAAACTAAACGTTCTGGTCCTGCATTCTTTGATCTTTTCATACTTTGCCAGAGAAACATTTGAAAAGCATAAACTATGAAAAAACTCAAAAATCAGGCTTTGTTAAATTGTAGCGTCATGTCTTGGTTACATTTCAAAACCAATCCGAACTTTCTAGCATATGAAATTGAACGTACAAATTCCTATATTTTCTCTCATAATCGTAGACTAACTCTTCATAAACTCAATGTAGCGAGCTGAAACTTTTGCTATGAAGTGCCTAGCTTGAGATAAACACTTACTAAAAAATTCATCAACATCGAATACTCGAAAAAAAAACTTTTTTTGAAGAAGATCTTTGAGAGGGCACTCCTTTCCGAAGTTTCTGAGGAATGACTCATCAGAAGTATTTGAAACTTTCAAAATAGATAGATCTTGATGAGTGGAGCAAATGTTGTCATGAGCTTCCAGTTTCTAAATAATTCGTTCTAGAAAATATCACGGTTGCAGAAGCTAAAAATCGTCAAGTTTTTTCAGCCACAATATATCTGATAGAAATGGAATTTTCTTTCAATAGATACGAGACATTGTTGAGAGAGCGTAAACTTTTTTGTTTCTTTTTATCTCCTTCCATTCGAATAAAAAGGATCAAAATACTGAGTGTGCCTCTAAAGACATATGGTCTTTTTTACTAAAGCCTTTTTTTTTGTAAAATCTGTCAAGAAAAACAACAGTAAAATACTCGACCGTACTATATCGAAGGGATCAGGGCATTTCTGTACTTTTTTCTCCAACTAGAGTGATCAAAAACTGGTCGTGTTCAACGGTGTTCGAGATCCATGAGCCACACTCTCCGCACCATTCCAAATTATCATTAAGAGAATTTCACAGAAATAGAGTAATCACAGTGTGAATTTTTTCCTCAGGATTTCGAGTCTTGGGTTGAACGAAGCTGCTAACTAACAGTGATGGGACCTCATTTATATGGCATTTGATAGAGAATACTTTGAAGATATACCAAAAATTGAGAAAATTTTGATTTTAACACGCAGAAAGTAGAATTTATCCTAAATGATTTAAGTTTGTTTTTTTGGTTGATAGTCTAAAATTGATTGCTATGAGGCCGTCAAAGTTAGAATTGCTTGGTTGAATACTTTACGTCAACAGCTATTGACTTGTTATTTCAATTGTTATGCTTCACAATCAATGATAGTACTAAAATGGTCCAGATGTAAATTCTATCACTTACAGAGAAGAATGTAATACATTCGTCTTTGAGCTTCTATTGATTTTTTTATTATTTAATATTGTTTGGTTATAACGAAAACTTTCATGAATATTTTGATGATTTTACTAAATCAACAATGAAATATATTTATGATAGAATTGAAAGTCTAAAATAATAATCTCTTCAAGATGTTGAAAATCGTTTTTCTGTATTATTGAGAAGGCTCTACACAATGCATAATTTCGTCCCTCCTTCTTATCCTAATAAATGCTAATCATCTATATGCCTTAGTTCCTTTCGAATACTTCAAAAAAAAATGGATTGATTGTTGACAAAAAATATTAGAAGAACAAAGTCGAATGCCAATTTTTGAAATGTATCATTTAATAAAAAGATAGTATTCATAATTAGTGCTATCTTCTTTAAGTGATAATAATTATATTGTACAAGTAATTGATGACGATCATTAATGAAGTTTTTTTCCCGTCAAATAACTCTATGAATGACGAGAAGAATTTCTAGTTAAGTTCATAAAAATTCTTTAAAAAAGTTTCACTACATCAATGTTGATCAATAAGAAATATATAGTAAGTAATATTCATGACGTGTATTCAAAAATAAACTTAAAATAGATATGTAGCCTTACGAGAAAAACTAAATGTTTTTCACCTGGGAAAAAAGAGATTATCTAGTCAAAAAAAAATTGCACTTGTAGATATCTGTAAAATGATACCCAATTTTTTAAAATAGCATGTCCATTGATACGAATCTATATTAAAAATATGAGTAGGTGTAACTCTAATCTATAGAATGTTATATTCCGTGTGCATATGTCTATTCAATTTTGGCTTATGGTTTCTATTTGACTGTTCTCGTACGTATACATAATATTTTCGTAAACATTAATGTTTGCCTTCATTGTTGATAAACCGGAAAAGCGTCAATTACATTGATCGATAATTTCATTCATCACGTTTTTCTTTTTTTTTTGCAACATCTGTTGTGAATTATAATTCATGTTTAATTGATTCTTCAAGGAAGGTTACACGATAAGAGTTTGTTCGCTGTTAATGACACGTACTGACTAAATTTTCAAAGAGAATTATCTAGCCAATAACTACTTCATGACCGAGTTACACAAAAATAAACGTTGAAGAATTATACTCATCATTGTCTGATTTGTTTTTGGAAAAAGATTTTCATCTTATGTTAGATTGGTTCAGTCATAAACAAGATTTGAATGCATACTAAGTATTAGTTTTTTGGATAAAAAAGTTATCTAAATTGTCCATAATGTTCGTTGAGTAAAGAAACAATGAATCCCTCTAGACGAAAATAAAACGTCACATTAATTGAGTATCAACAAGTTTACAATGCACAGACATTGAAATCTGTTTTTTTATTTCAGACATGCCAAAATACAAAAAAAACACTTGATTGAGATACGCTCTACAACAGAAGCATATCTCAGTAGGTTTCATATTTATATATGTGTATGTAATGAATATAATTGAAATAATAGATTTTCTGTGCCATTTACAGCTCATCTCATTCAACAGATAAACAATTTGTAAAAGAATTTCTTTTGTTTTTTTGTCAAATCATGCTGTCACAAATTTAATCATTGGCATTATTCCCAGGTCAAATATGAATGTAAACGAAAGGAAAATATTTTTCTTCTAGATAGTTAATATTGTTTAACTTGAAATGTTACTTTTCTTGTATTTATGCATCATCTACTTTGCTTCATTGATAAATATACATTGTTGTATTATGAAATCGTAAATTCGACATATTTTTTGATAGCAATTTAAGATAAACGCATGTTAGATAATGTAAGATATGCAAAACAATTTTTTAGTGGTTTTTGAAAAGTGACCAAACTTTATCCATTTTATTCTCTCTGACTTACGGTATGGTGATTAGAACATTGTTTGTTGTCGATTTAAGTGCCACAGAATATATGAGGTATTTGTTAAGAAAAGTAACGGCTATCATTTAAACGGCCAATAAGATAATTAAATGATCACTTATTAAAAAATAATTAGGATTATTAATATAATTAAAAACTAGTAAATAAAAATGGGAGTATAAAAACCGTAACGTTTCATGATGTGATTTTTGTTCTTTTTCTCTTTCCTTTTGCTATGGTATTCAGATAGATGTGGCTGAACTAACGCTTACCCCCACATCAACAACAATAAACAGATTCCACGCCCACACTCCTTTTATATTTGTTCTGTAGAAATGAGGAATGAATCAGACAGGAAAAAATCAAAATGCATCTGTGTAACTTTTTGTTTAGAACTATATATACAAACATACTGGTTGTATGACTATTCGTATAACATATTTGTAAACTCCAACCAGCAGTAAAAAAGTGCCGATCATTCAGAAAAGAAAAAGACCTAAACCAGAAAAGAATAAACCTATTCTGCTAGTACAACGGTTGATTTTTCATGCTTTTGTTTGTATTTATTTAAGTTTATTTCTCTTGTATTAAGTTAATCTTTATACGAATAAAACTTATTTCTTCTGCTGATAAATTATGTATTTTTATTTATCAAATTTGATTTTTTTTTTTTATTGATACTTATATAAAAAAATAAAGTGACCATTTTATTTATTTTACTGACCAAAAATGACGCTCCCAAAACTAACAGTACATCAAAAGTGTATTTCACATAGACTCCTTTGACATCAGCAAATATATAAATAATAAATTTTAAAACCTACTAAATTTTATCACTTCCATCTACTAACATAACCATGTACTATTTAGAAATCTGATAATTTTCTTACAGTAGAAGAATCTAATAGTTTTGATCAATCTAATATCACATTCGCATGAAAAGACTAGCTTGAATGGCTGCATACGCTCAACTCATTCTTTGTATTACATTTTGTGGATATCGATATCACTCTTTCGATGATGCCATTATTTTCTATTTTCTCTTATT